ATGTGCTCAAAAAACTACCTAAAGTATAAAAGTATAAAGTAACCTTTAAAAAAAGATAAAACAGCCAGATGCCACTTTATGAATTGAAAGCTCAATTTTTCGACTATTTTGTAAAATTTGAGATAGGGCCAAGGATGAGGGAGGTCTTGTTGGTCTCAGTCTCCCGATACGCTCTCACCTGTGTCTGACCTTTCAGCCATTTTAGCATCTTTTTCTGAATCAGACATTGCAACATGGCATAGACAATTTATGTTTGCAGTTTGAAGAACACCTGCTTGCTTCTGATGATTTCCTTTAGCTAACCAATGAGTGTTTGCGTTATAGGAATCATCCAATTACACAACACAGTAAAAAAATGTTAAATATGCACTGTCAAAGTACATAGAGTCTTTTAGAGTCATTACAACAACTGGAGTAAAATATACACTACGTACGGTTCTAATTTAGAGTTCAAATGCACTCTTAAGGTGTAGCTTTAACACTTCAAAATTGACTGTGTATTTATCGCAAGATGTGGATGGCGCCAATGATCTGCATTGGATGGCGCACATGACGTGAATTAAATATTTATAAACTCTAAACCGAAGCCAAGAGTAATGTTTGTTTTAAAAATGTAATGAATATAAGTATATAATATAAGTAGGAAGAAAAATAAGTAATAGAGTAAAGTATAGATACCTAAAAAGTGTACTTAAGTACAATAATGAAGTATTTGTAGGTCGGTACTTGACACCTCTGGAAAAATTGATTTTTTCTTAAAATAAGTCCATTTGTTCTTGGATAAAAAGAGACATTTTGTCAATTGAACAAGACAATTTACACTGAAAAAAATAAAACACAATGGCATTGGCATTGTCTTATTTCAAGTGCATATTATCTAATCATCTTATTTTAAGAGTAAACATTTTCATTCTGTTGGCAAACAATCTAATTTACCCACTTAAATTAAGGGGAAATAAACTTCATTTAAGAAATTTTATTTCTAGATCGTTTTTCCAGTGTGCTGTCCTGTTTCTAAAAAGTCATAATTTCAAAAGGAAATAAATAAATCTGATTTAAAACATGTCAGATGTGCACAGAAGGCGTTTCACTTGTTCCATCATCTCCAGGCCTGAAGTGTCACACAGAGAAATGGACCCTGGTCCTGTGGGGCCACAGTGACAGCTTCTTTCTGACATTTATTCAGCTTTTTCCCACTCTGTGACCAACATCTTTCTCACACAGATCCCACGCTGACCGACCCCCCCTCAGCCTATGGTTCCTGGTATTCCGCCCCCACCCCCACTTTCTAAAGGAAACCACCGCCAGCACGCGCCAGGAAAACCCCAAACCGCATTGGAAAGCAGAGTTTAACAACTTTAACGCCAATTAAAGTTACCGGAGAGAATCAGCAAACCCAAACAGCTTGAAAAAAGTTAAACACTCGAGAAAATGAGCGAAGAAATCAAGTCAGGCGAACTCAGGCTGAAAGTTAGCAGCTAGCTTCAGACACATTGTTACTCAGCTAACAGCAGGTTGAGCTTTTTTACTGTTTTAATTGCATCACTTACCTTAATTCCACCAAGTTGAGAGCTAGCAGTTGGTCCTAAAGCCAGAAAACAGCGTCCAGGACGGTTAAAATGGTCCCACAGCTGGTTAACTATAAAGCTTTATGTTTTCCCACTACAGCACAAAGAGCAGAGAGGATGAGGTTCATTCTCCAGGAGCCAGGCACCGTAAATACTCGCTCTGCTGCTCTCTCTCCCTCCAGTTTTCTCAATGGGCGTTACCTCCGTTATGACGCCTTATTACCGTAACAACCAGAGCAGCAAGAGAGACAAAACTATATTCTACCGTAAACATCAGAAACAGGGCGCAAAGACAATAAAGCTCCGTGTGAACAGATTTTTTTTTATTCCATTTATATTTATTATGTGTTTAAGCTTATTTATTATTATGGTATTAACTGTTTTTACTAGCAGTAAGCTGCTAAAAGAAGGACATAAGTTACCCGATGAATTAAGTTTGGTAAAAATAGTTTAAAATGTGAGCGTTTATTTTGGGAATCGCATGTTATACAGGTAGTGGGGGCGCTAGGGGGCGCTATTGCTACACCTTGAAATGCCATAGAACACCTAAGAAAAAACATTTGATTAATACATTTTCATCAAAGGT